CTTCATGCTTGGTCCGTACAACGAAGGCGACTCTGTGGACATCACATGCGAAGCGTCAGGTGGTAAGTAAGACTGGCTGCAGTTTTTCAAAATATACAGTCCATCATGAAGTCCAAATTCTGGGAGTTTTCCTCTGTTGCGTGGGGAAGGAGGCACAGCATACCGTTTGTCAGACAGAACCCCCCCTTTTGCGCATATTCCCATACATAATAAAATTACTGATAAGATAGTTTTATCAACTCAATGTCAGAAGAGGGGAGTGTGGATGTATTATTCTAGCGCCGCACACACGGCATGAAACCAGCAGATATTGCTGCTGCAGGGCCTGCCGCTGGTGGACGCTGCAGATTAGCGTGCTGGGTGTGCCCACCCCTGGGCATGGCCTCAGGCCGCCGCAGGCCTCCTTGCGCCCAGCCTGGGATTGAGTGTGGTGCTTTCCCATGCCCTTTATTTATCTTTCTCCCCACAGAGGGCTTCGGCTGGATCCCTTATGCTCCCACCCACCCACTCGTTTTCCTCCTTTCATTTTTTAATTCTATCTGTCGCAATTTTTTTCCCTCCACCTCGACCCCACCGCCTTTACCGTGTTCCCCCCCGCCCGCGCCCGCTTGGCTCGCGTTTTGATCTGCCTCGATACGGCACGCCTATTTTGCGGTCCTGTGCGAGGCCAGGATCTCGGCGTGCACGATGGGCGGGGTGGGAGCGTGGCGGGGCAGCTTGCGCGCGGATCGTTTTAGTAAATAAAGGCTGGGGGTGCGGAAGTCGGGCCGTGGGGCCACCTTGTTTTCACAATTCCATTAAAGAGCGCATTTGTCATCACGGTGACATCCACGGGCAAAGTTTTTGCTCTTTGTTTTGAATCCACGGCTGTAGGAGAAAAAGGTGCGCGCCGCTGTGGGGCCAGGCCAGGCTAGGCCGAGCTGGGCGCGATGGGTTTGGTGGGGTCGGGCCAAGCGTAGAAGGACGCGGCGCAGAGGTCCTCACAATACCTAAGTTCCTTTTCGTGTACGCGGCCAGATGGCCACGCCACCCCGCCACGCTTGCCGCCGCACCGCCGCACCGCACCACCGACGGATATTTTATTCAAGTTGCCGGTAATTTCAAAATTCACTTAGGAACCATGTATAATTCATCCCAGGGATCCCAGGGCGTTCCGTTATTGGAGCGAGTGGGTGACGCGCGGGGTTGGGGCCCGGGGTGGGAGCGCAGCGTCGCCGTAGTGCGTGATGGAGAGAGGTAGGGCACAGAGCTGAAGTGCATTCCATTAGTGCCAATAGTGCAGCGGCCAAAGGGACTGGCACGTGTGCCATGTCTGCCATATTGGACACTATATACATTTTATTACAAACGTATTATCTGATAAAATGTGTTTCATAAGCTGAGAGATAAGACTGTAGTTCGGATGATTCGATTTAATTATCTTTGTATCCCACTTGCTTACGAAGTCATAAACCGGGGGCGTTTTTCGCCCAGACAATCTAGAAGCCCCAAGATGTCAAGCTTGTTCTTCGTCTCCATCTGTAGCAATGTCGTTTGTGAGCTTACATAGTTGTTATTTATGTTATGATACAAATAATGTGTTCACATTTACTGTCACATTCGACGTGATTCTCATGATATCATGGTGGAAGCTACAAGAAGAGTCATGGACATGGCAAAACACAATTGGTACCAGAACGTGAAAGTCGTGTATTTGCGAACTGTCTTTGACGTCGTCTGGGTTCTCGCCAGAATATAAAATATGGCAAGAACCCACTTGTACTTTACCGCGTTTTGAAGGCAAGCAGGGGAAGACATTTGGGGGGGGGGGGGGCAATGCGACTTAGCCATTCGAACCCCAGCGTAGGCTCGGGCACGACAATGTACGGATTAGTGAAAGTGAGCATACAGGAATTGCAGACATAAGGTTCTGGCTTACAGAAATTCTTGGGCCAATCGTTCGAGAACATAATATCCGCTAAAAACAGTAAAGAAAGGGGGGACTTAGAACGAGAGAAAACAGTTTGGCTCCCAGATTGAGCGTCTGTCTGCTTCCCCACCTTACTCGATGCCCTCTTGACGAATTGGACTTCCTGCGGCGCCAAGCTGTGTGATGGAAGTGGGGAAAGGGAGGGGGGAGGGGGTAAGTGATGACGGAAAAGTAAGGGCTGTGGGAATCAACCTCCCATACTACGGTGGTGATGAGTGTCTGAGAAAAGACTCACTCTTTGGTCCTCTGCGTCTTTCTCTAGAAAGTAAACAGTTTTCTCCACGCACACGTTTACCATATTTCGAAAGTGGAGCAATTGAGCTGATTAAAAAAAAACAAAAAACAATCAGCAAAATCCCTTAGTCGCCGCCCAACGCCGTCGAGCTTCAAGCCACATTGCGTAAAATGGACGGACGGCTGAACCTCGTGACCTGACTGCTGTTGAGCGGGTGAAATGCACTAAACTCTGAATGGACCATGATTATTATTCATCCGTTCTCATAGTTAAATGTTTACGTGTACTAAAGATTTTGGTTCATCAAACTTTAGTTTGAAATCAAAAAATATCTTGCCTATATCGCATTTTGTAAAGTGTACAATGCTGCAAGTTTGTGGCGTCTAGAATGTGCGATTCCAATTGAAATTTACTCGATTGTAAGATGTGTCATGACTTATTTGAATTCTGTTTGTTTCAGTGCCACCCGAGCAACTGCTCATTATGGACAACAGAGGCGAGCACATACGTCACTTCATGCTTGGTCCGTACAACGAAGGCGACTCTGTGGACATCACATGCGAAGCGTCAGGTGGTAAGTAAGACTGGCTGCAGTTTTTCAAAATATGCAGTCCATCATGAAGTCCAAATTCTGGGAGTTTTCCTCTGTTGCGTGGGGAAGGAGGCACAGCATACCGTTTGTCAGACAGAACAGGATGAATAGACAGTTTTTCTCGTTTCTATTTTATGAAAGCACAATACATGATATGTGAACTTGTTCAGTGCCATTTAGAAGTAAATCTGGTTCACCGATAGATCTAGTGTTCATCACAATCGTTTTGTACGTGAACATGTTCATTTCCTTTGCGGAACGCGTTCAACTCATGAAAATGCTCCCATTAGGAGTCGAACTCTTGGGTGCCCACCTATAAAGTTCAATAGCCGCAAGTGCACAAGAACCATGTTGGACCCTTTGTGTATCAGAGTTGGAGTACTGATATTTTGTACGTATTCATGTGTGGTGGCGCAGGGAGGGTCGGAGACAGGGAGGGGGTGAGGAACAGAGAAAGAGTGCCGAGAGGGAAAACAGGCCAGCCAGCAGCGTAGGTCGGCCAACTTTACAATTTACTGCATGCAGACCCCGTAGTGCGCTATTGCCTCAGGGCCTCCCGCCTCCTTCTCTATAGAACACACAGACACACACGCGCGCACATGCACACACATTACAACGCAACACAAATTGCACATTTTAAACTTATGTCTAATCCCCGGGTGTTGCTAAGGGAAAACTTTTAGAGAGAGCAGTTTGAATTTATTGCGCCAATTCAATTAGAAGAAAGTTGATTTATTCCACGCTGCGTTGCGGGACGGTTGGTGTCTACTATGCCCGCGTTGTTATCAAACTGTTTTCCCGTTGGGTAGGCACTTGTGCCAGAACCTTTGTTTCACGCGACTTCACTACTGCGCATGTCGTATTTAAATTCAAGTAAAATTTTACTTTAAATTTTGAATCAGAGGTCCTCAAAATATACTCAAGGTAGCCACGTTTGGGTGGCGGGAGAGACTCAGGGAACCGAGCGACACAAGAGGAGGGAGAGATGAGTATGCAACATGCATGACGTGTTGGGAGGCGTTGCCACATAAATTGCCTACTTGCCTGGAGGAATCCTGGCCCTCCGCCTCGCACAAGACGCGCCGCTGGGCTTTGGTTTCTGGAAGACTCGCAGGCGCGATGGCCATGGTGGCTGCGAGAGTGTCGGCGAGGGAAAGACAGACGCGTGTGTGTGTGTGTGTTCTGTCTGTTGTGAAGGCTTCCACCCCGCCCCCTTTCTCTCTTGCTTTATGTCGTCAGAGTTTTGGGGGCGGCCAGGCTTTACGATGTGTTCATTCGGCCCGCTCGGCCGCTCTATGCTCCGACTCGTTCTGCTGCCATGTTGGAGTTCCCTATGCCAGATCGGTCCGCAGCGCGTCGCTCCCCGAAAGTAATCAGAACTCGTCAGGGACTGCACGAGTCTCGGCATGAGGCTCTGCTCTGCTGGCCGCTCAGTGCAAAGACACCGCCTTGTGCCTGGGCGGGGGAGAGAATCAAATCATGATACCCGACGCAAAGGGGTTAAGATAAGAAGTCTAAGAACTCTAACATGGTTTAAAACCTGAATTCTTTTTCTCTTTTAATACGTCAAATGGCGCGTTTTGTAATGGAAAGCACACGTTGCGACTTCGTATGTAAACGATATTTTCTAATGGTGTTGATATTTGAGTTGGGCCGCGTCTGTTTTTGAGATAGCTTACGAATCCTTATGTGTGTGTTTCTAGGGCGGCCACTGCCTCGTGTCACGTGGTGGTACGAGAACATCATGCTGGACGAATCTTTCGGGCGCCTGTCCGAGCGCCGCGTCCAGAACGTGCTACACCTGGAGAACCTACAGCGCAAGCAGCTGAACCGCGTCTACACCTGCAGGGCGTCCAACAACCAGCTGGCCAATCCCATTACCTCCTCCGTGCGGCTGGACATGAACCGTAAGTTATGCTCTTTCATGCTACTCGTTGTTTTCGCACTGGCACACGCTGAACCCCGAATGCCACTACTCGAATCGCGTTTTTGTTGTGTTTTTATGACAATGCAATTTTCTTTACTTTGTGCATCCTCGAAGCCGAAAAAAGCTAGCTGTACGTGACCGCATTTTGGAGTAGGGTAGATTAGATTGAATTAATTTTTCTTATGAGCTGTTCTTTTTTTTTTTTTTTTTTTTTTTTTTTTTTGATAAGGGTAGATTTGCCTTGACAAATGGCAGGCTATTTATTTGAAACCGGAGCCTCTATATTATAAATTTATTTTTCTTATCCCCCAAGCCCTTGTTCCTGCAGCAGTTAGAGTCGTCCTGCCTAGGCCCCCCGCATGGCGACGTGACGCTGTGCAGAAAACGTCTCGGGCGTGATTTGAGAAACAGTTTATTTATTGGTAAAGTTTGCGGCAGGCAGGCGGGAGGGGTGGCGGGCTAGGTGAGAGAAGGAAAAGTAGGGAGAAGTGGAGGCGCAGGGGATGGGGTGGACGGGAAGAGGTGGGGAGGGGTGGGGGAAGGGAGGGTTAGTTTGGTGTGCTTGCTGGCTTTGGTATGGTTCCATGTCAAGGCATACGAAGGACCGAGGCTAGGGGTAGAGAGAGGCTGGAGGAAGAGGAACTGTGAGCGAGTGGAGAGGGGAAAGGAGGACGAAGGAGGGGAGGAAAAGGGGGGCAGGAGGAGAGTGCGACCGACCGCTCCTTTCGACAGATGATGGAACTAATGTTCCGCACTGCCGGTGGGTGCTGGATTGGGGTGGGTGTCGCTGGCGGGTGGGAGGAGGGCGAGATGAGTGGGCGAAAGGGGGTGAGGCGGGATGCGGGGGGTGGTGGTGCCGCCCGGGGGTCGCCACGGCGAGCTGAGTCCGATCCCGAGCCGAATTACGAGCAGGACGTGGAATTTGAAGGTCGTTGTGTTATGGAAGCCACTGAGCGCCGGCGCGGCTCGCACCCCACCCCCAAGCGGCCCTCCCTTCAATCCTCGTCTCTCTCTCTCTCTCTCTTTCTCTCTCTCTCTCTCTTTCTCTCTCTCTCTCTCTCTCTCTCTCTCATGCCCCCTCTCTTTGGCCTTGCCTGCCGAAAAGCCCAGCTGTATTTGTGTTATTGTTTACGTGTTATTTGTGGCACTGTAGTGACACCTGGCACTTTTTTGCAATGCATTTATCAGGAGCGAATCACAAACAGGACGCAGATTTGGTTAGATATAATTACATTCTAGTGACGAAGACGTGAGCTTCGTTGCATACACTAAATAAATATGAAAGGACAATGTTGTATGAGATGTGTAAAGAGATGTGTTCTCAAGCACATATCTCAAGCACACAATTTAAAATTCTTAACTCAAACTCGCTTTCAGCCAGAATTCAGTTTAGGGGGCTGGCTATGCCCTTCACGGAGTCCCGATCGCAATACACTTGGGACAGGTGGGACCAGGAAAAAGGGGCTGCTGCGGGCGGCCTGGTGGTGGCCTCGCGACCAGCCGGGATGATATACTGTGTCCGGGTGATTGAATAACATTGGTTCTGGAGACTCCAGGCGGCTCCAGGCGGCTCCAGGCCACCGAGGGCCGTGAGCCCGGAGGGCTCAGTGCGTGCGGTGCACACTCGGCGGGGGGTGTGTGGGCGCGGCAGGCTTGGGCTGACGGACAGCCCAATGGGAGTGCTGAGCCCGGCCGGGGCTTGCAGCCGAGAGCGCCGCTGCCCGTCTCGGCCGGAAATGAGAGGTGAGGAAGTGAGAAGGCCGGGCGCTGTGTACGGAAGAAGAGAGGCCCTGGAACTCCTTCCTTATTTTCTCCCTCCGCCTCTCCTCACGTTATCTCTCTGTCTATCTATCTATCTATCTATCTATCTATCTTATTGACACATGTTACATGTACTAAGTAACTCACTTCTGTTGGAAATTATATCGTAATTTGACGAAAAATGTCCTGTAAATTTTTCTACACAAACTCTTTGTTATTTTTAAGTAACGAATACATTCGTAAAATGACGAACAGTTTGTAACTCGGTTGTTGTCCTAAAAGAATGATCCTGGACACAAGTATTTTCGAAACAAACATTTTAACATCCTGATCAACTGACACTTTCAAATCGTGATGTTACGAAAGTTTAACAGGGTACCGAGCGCTCTGGAAACTCAACTGTCGTACAGTATGACAGTTAAAACTGCAGTACTAATGGTACTGAGTTTAAACTGTGATACCATTTGTGTACTACAGTTTAAACTGTCATACTGTACGTCACTTGAGTTTCCAGAGCGACCCTGGAATCCTTGAAAACCCGGGAAAACCCCTTGAATTTAATCGGTCGGGAGTAACCCTTGAATTCTGATCAAACCCGGGAAAAAGTTGACCAAATCATCGTCACCGAGCAGCTGCTCTGTGTTGCCGCTAACTACGTTAAAATTTATCCTAATTTTGTTTCCATTCCTGCTCTGTAGATGACCGAACACTAGGTAACACTTTTTAATGATATATTTTTTGGGACTGTCGTTAAGAAAATTAAACGCTTTCGGCAAAATTTTGTGTCAAAAAAAAAAAAACAACTTTGAATTTTGACAATTTTTCCCGGGAAAACCCGGGGAAAACCCTTGAATTTAATATTTGGTCGTCGCTCGACACCCTGTTATATACTGCCACGAACAGTTCGTAATCGAAATTGCCGAATAATACTCGTTTATTTTAATTACGAACTTTTCGTGAGAGATTATTATCGTGGAATGACGCTATTTATTAACCGTGTTTAAATGTAATACGGGGTTGATCAATGCCCACAGACCGCGGGGTCCAATTTAGTTATAATGTACCTCAATGGCCTTGCAAGTGTGTGGAGTGGACGCATTGCCTACATGCAAGGGGCCGTAAGGCGTCACGGTGCGTGCCGGTTGTCGATAGGCAAGCCTGCATGCGGTTCAGTAAAACTATTCCTCAAAGTTCGCCACCCTGCAAACGAGCTGCGTTCAGGTGCGGATGCCGACCTCTGGCTGTGTCCATCATATCAATTACTCTGCATGTGCATATGGCAAAAAGTTTCAGCTGATTATTTATTTGTATAGATTTCCTAACAATGCCATCTCTTATTGAGGTCTATTATTTAGTCTGGTGCAAAAAAGGGGCCAGAGTGCTAAAACTTTTGAACGGTTGGTCTTTAGGGTCGCAGTGTTAGTGAACATAGACCATACCTATAACTATTTTAACCATAGTGATGGCCAAAAAATTAGTGGCAGTGAAGCCTCCCTTTAACCTTCTGTGTCACTTCTTTCGACTCAGCTATAGCTGCCATTCAACTTGTGTCAGGACGGCACTTCGGCTCGACTCGAGACGTCGCTTCTGCGCGCTGATGGGCAGCCGATAGGGTCGACAGGCTGCGATATAACAAGCGGGGCTCGAAGGCATTCTCTTAGGCATCATAGACCGCCTTCAAAGGTCACTACGTGACTAGGAGAAAGTCTTGGTGTGCACCCAGAAAATGGTATCTGTGAAAAAGGAGAAACGTGTTGCTTCAACGCTGTTTTTTCCTCAAAAAATACAAGGAAAATTGTCTTAAACTTTGAGCAAATGCCGTTAAAATAGAATGAAAGTTTTCTTAGATTAACTTAATTTCCTTGAAAATAACGGAAAAACCTTAAAGCAAGGTCAAATATTTCCCTGTATTTTTTTAAAAAAGGAAATTCCTTGGTGATACCATTTTCTGGGTGTGGTGACCCGAACCGAATGTCTCATAAAAAGCGCTAGGCAGGCAAACCAGCCTCAACGATTACCTCTGGTTTGGGCTGGAGCTTTCATAGCGGCGCATGTGGGTGTCGCTCCGGCGACTGCACCACACACTGTTAAAATATTTTGTGATTTCCCAACACTTTCAGGATGCGAAACAACTGTGAGATATTAACACTACTTTGTAGTCAAAAACAGTGCTTTTTGCTATCAATTTTTGACAACGAAGAAGAACACTTGTGATTTCCACAAAGAGTTCTGGCAACTTTTTTCACACCGAATTCTTCGTTAAGTTCTGACTTTTGTTTTGAACAGTGCATATGGCGCATGTGTCGCGAAGACTTATCAGTACATGCACAATGTGATTCCATAAGTGTCGGAAAGTGTCGAAAATGACCTCTGCAGTGGCGTTGCGGTGAACCATCGACATGAAATTAGATGTTTCTATTGGTTGTCAGGGAAAACCACTTGTTGCCCTAAAACAGCTCCAAAGACTAATTTTTAAAAAAAATGGGTTTGATGAAAAACAGGCTTCAGGTTTCCAACTAACTTCTTTTTCCCTAAACCGATTTTAGTTGTTTGTTTTTTTTCGTCCTTGAGGCTACACAACACACCCCTCCAGGGACGGTTGGAGACGCGCGCGTAAGCGGCGTAAGCAGGCGCGGCCCCGAATCAAAAGAAAAGGGGGGAAACTTGGTGGCGGCGCGGTCTGGTATTCCCTTTGTCATTTGCTTAGACGTCTCAAACGCGACTCAATCTAAGTTGTACGACGACTGACGTGAACAGTTCGTTTAAAGTGAACGGGAAGGAGATTACGAGCAGAGTGAAAAGGGACGGACGCTGCTACTGCGCGCCGCCGCCCCGCCGCGCCGCTCGTGCCATCGGCAGAAAAGGGTGCTTGTCGCGCGGAGGGCAAACTTTGCGGCTGGCTGCCGGGGCCGCGGGACCGGGCCGCGCGCCGCGGGTCGTCTTTTCAAAAGAAATGTGAAGAAGATGGCAATCCGACTGAATAGAGTCAACTTGGACTACTCTCAGGGAAAGAAGTGGGGTGAAAAAAAAAGGAAAAAGCGAGGAGACGACGGGGAAAAAAAGTGAAAAATTCTGAATGTGACCGACGATGACGACAAGGACGCAACGGACGGCAATGTGCCCCGGCGGCCGTGTGCAGGACGATTAGAGTGGCGGGCCGTGGCTCTCCTTGACTGGAGGGCACCAGCGAGTCACTCGGCGTATAAACAGCTGTGCGCG